CCACCACAGGACAGAGCTCCTGGAACTGTGGAGTCATCTAAAGGAGAATGCTCTGTGTGACACTGTCTGCAGCTGGGGAATGCCCAGGGCTGGCACTGAGCAATAATGATTCATGGAAATTCCATCTGAGAAGTACTCTGTGCTTTATTACAGGATAACCTGGGGAGCCAAGTCATGCTGGAAGGAATGTGGATGAAGTTTTCCGATGAGGACTTGAAGTTTTATAGGTTGGAGTCACATTTGATTCAAACCATCTGTTGAAATGTCAAGCTGAGCCCATCACTTTCCTCATACATCTCTCATATTTTATGTCAGTTCAGTATAACAGATATTCGTTGAGGGCCCATGGAGTGCCAGATGCTGGGATTACAAAGATGAACAACTCAGTGGTTCCTGTTTTTGAGATGCTTACCGTGGTCTAATGGAAGTCAAAGTTATAGTTCCCAAGTATTTTCTAACCTCAGTTGTGAGGTCAGGGTTTGTAATTTATGTGCATCTCAGTTGCCAGGGCTGAGCATTGTGTCAATCCACTTTTGCTGATGAAATACAATAAAGAGCTTGTGTGACTTACCGAATATGGCTACCGAAACGCGTAACATTGTGCATTATTGGTGCTGTGATTGGTAGATTTGTATTGTAATTGCCTCTGGATGCAGAAAACCTTCTTCACAGGAGGGAATGACCCAAAGTGGCATTAGGAAACAATAAAGATGATGGAATAGCCTACTGACAGATTCTATTTTATTCTCTGAGATTTAAAATAGATTTTTTAAATGCTGAAAAACAGCCATTATGGCACATGTTCAGTAAGATATTGGTTAAGTTAAACATGAGTATTTTTTTCCACTTCTCTCTAAACTGTTCATAAAATATCAATACTTCATTTTAAAAAAAGATTTATTTTTATTTCAGAGAGGAAGGGAAAGGGAGAAACATCAGTGATGAGAGAGAGAGAGTCATTGATCAGCTGCCTCCTGCATGCCCCACACTGAGGATTGAGCCTGCAACCCGGGCATGCGCCCTAACCAGGAATTGAACTGTGATGTTCATAGGTTGACACTCAACTCCTGAGCCACACGGGCAAGGGTGAGTACTTCATTTTTTAAATTTTGAAGTTATTTTGTATGGTAGGCACTTTAGGGATCAAAAAGACAAACAAAAGAATCTGTGCAAAAAGAGCTTAAAAGATGGTAGTGCTACTCTTAACTTGCTGCGTATATGTTCACAAACTTTTTGAAATAGTGTACAAACTTGGTGTGTAGGTGCACTTTTCTGAGGAATGTGTACTTTAGATCAACTGGTGGTTCATGTTCCTAAAAAATTAAGAACCAATGAAGTAGAGAAATATAATTAAAGGAAGAATTTACTATATGGGAATTACAGAGAACATGGGGATTTAAACGAGAAGCAACCCAGGTGGCATAAGCCAAATCTCAATGGGATGAAGGCAGTATTTGACTACTGAAGGCCGATTGGGAAGGCATTGAGCTCTTGAAGTGGACAGATTCTTGCAGAGAGAGACCAAAGTAGGGAAGTGCAAGGCTTTCTTTGGGGAAGACTGGTAGTTAAGCTGGAGGACATGTGTAGGCAATAAAGTGACCAAATCTTGGGATCATGCAGCAGGAAGGCTTCAAATATTTGTTGAATGATTAAATATAACTTTAAAAATATCATCTAATGTTTATCCTACTGCCAGAGTCTTAGTTGCCACTAACGTAAGCATTTTTATGTTTGTGGTAGATTATTTTAAAAAAATATATTTTTATTGATTTCAGAGAGGAAGAGAGAGATAGAAACATTAATGATGAGAGAGAATCATGGATTGGCTGCCTCCTGCATCCTCCCAACTGAGGATTTAGTCCAAATTCCCCTTCCTCCCATCTTCCTTCCCCAACTCCCCTCTGACTGGGAACCCAACTGTGACTTCCTGGTTTATAGGTGATGCTTACCTCTGAGCCACACCTTGCACGCCCCCTACTGGGGATCTAGCCGCAACGCAGGCATGTGCCTTTGACCTGAATTAAACCCAGGACCCTCCAGTCCGCAGGAGGAGGCTCTATCCATTGAGCAAACCAACTAGTAAGTTTCTTTTTAGATGCACAATCTTATACTTTTAGAGTTAAGTCTTTAGATTTTTTTCTTTGTACTTTATTATATTTAGTTTCCTTTCTTACCCAGAGGTTAAATAAATATTCATGTATATATTATTATGGCCTGTGCTCCAGTTTTTTTTCAGGCAGGTCTCATTGCTTTCAGGTATCTTCTTTAGACCAGGTGATGTAAATTATGTGTCTTGTACAGGGCGGGAGGAATTAAAGTGAGGTGCAGCTGTCTGTAGGGGGTGTGGTGGTTAGCGCCGCGATTTGGAGACAGTCTCTCTGACTTTGAATTTGTCGCTTATTATGTGACTTGAAGTAACTTCACTTTAGCTTTCCTCATCTGTAAGATGAGTTCATAATAGAACCTACCTCATATGGTTATGAGAATACAGTGAGTTAGCATGTAAGTCACTCAGAACATGTCAGGGCCAGCCACACTTTGGTCCATGCTGGGTAGGTCCTCTGAAGCTTGATACTGTTTCATTATACTTTGCATTTCTGAAAACTTGAACGTTTCAAGCATCCTTCACCTCTAACGACTAAGCTTTCTTTTGTTGGTGAGACACGCCCCCCAGAGGACACAGTGCTTTATTTCCAGCCCTTGAAAACCCTGCCACTGCGGGAGCAATGACCCGCCACTTCCAATAGTCCTCAGTCCCAAATCCACTTTCTCCCCAGCACGTTCCACTTCTTCCACCGGCTTCTTCCCTCCGAGCCCGCTTTCCTCCAGTTTCTGTAGACCCCGGAGCGACGCCGGTGTGCACACTTTTATTCATTCTAATCTCAGACATTTTCCTGCTCGCTCTCCAGGCGCGAGGCGTGGGGGCGGAGCTGGGGTGCAGGGGCGGGGGTGTGGGTAGTGAACTAAAGGTAGGATCTACCGTGCTGGGGCTTGCCGTCTAACAGAACACACACACACACACACACACACACACACACACACACACACACACACCCCAAACGCATTGTACGCCGAAATTGGTTTGGCTCAGTGGATAGAGCGTCGGCCTGTGGACTGAAAGGTCCCGGGTTCGATTCCGGTCAGGGGCATGTACCTTGGTTGCGGGCACATCCCCGGTGGGGGGTGTGCAAGAGGCAGCTGAACGGTCATTCTCTCTCATCGATGTTTCTAACTCTCTATCCCTCTCTCTTCCTCTCTGTAAAAAATAAATAAAAAATATATTTAACCGCATTGTACACAGATGGGCAAACGAGTAATGATCTCTTAGCTACTGTTTTCTCACCCGTAAAATGGAGTAATACCACTTACTTGAAAGATTAAACAAGAGAAATCAGAGCTTCTGGGGGCGGGGAGGGGGGGAAGGCAGAGGGGGACACTTTGTGAAGTATGTGATTGTCTAACCAGGGCACTGAACACCCGAAACTAATGCAAATCAATACCGGATGTAAACTGTAATCGACAAATGAAATGTAAAGTTCTTATAAAAAAAAAAAAAGTAAAGCCGAACTAGAGCTCCTCATAGTGATCCAGGTGCAGTAAGTGAACTCGGTAAAGCCCTCTTCTTCCATCTTCCCCGATCGCAGGTGGGGGAGCACCAACCAGCCTTGCGGGTGAGGGCGCCCCGAGTTCAGCTCCGGGAATCCCGGCCGCGCCCGCGGGGCTCCCGGGACCCCCTTCTTCGGCCCGCGGACCCCAGGGCCACCTGCCTCCGGGACCCCAGGGCCGGCCGCCCGAAGCTACCGACTCCCCGCCACCCGCCCGCGTCCAGGGGGGCGCCCTCTGCCCGCACCGGGCGGTGCTGCGGGGGCGGGGAGTTCGGGGGCGGGACTTCCCGTCACTTCCGCTTCCTGTGAAGTGAAATCTCCCGCCACCCGGGAAACGCGCCGGCCGGCGCTGGTGTTCCTTCGCCTTCGGTGTGGCTGCAGGTAAGAGCGACTCCCGTGGATTTCGGACGGACGGTCGGACGGCCATCCTGGCGTGGAGACTTGCAGGTGGAGACCGCAGGGAGCGCACTTGGCGGGGGAGGGGGGCGCAGGGGCTGACCTGGCTCGGGGGTCCGTTATTTGGGGCTGACACTCAGGTGTCAGTGAGTTACAGGGACCGCTTGGCCGGAGGAGGAGGAGGAGGAGGAGGAGGAGGAGGGTCAGTGGGGTGGGCAGGATTTTTGTAAGGGACGTGTGGATGCTCCCCGAAAGGAGTTGTGAAAGGCTGGATTCCAACACAGCCCCGTTTCCCGGGGTCATTAAGATAGGTGAGTAATCGGATCCGGCCCGGGAAGTTTCTTATTGGTGAGAACCTCCCGCGCTCTCCCAGGAGTTGGGGGTGGCAGTCCCTAAGGAAACGTCATCTACGCTCCGGGCTGCGGAGACCAGGTGCACAGACTCCCAGGGGGCAGCCGCACCACCTGGCTCCCCTGTTGCTGGAAGTTAGGGTCACCACCTGCATCTTCCCTCCCTGGCAGCCCCGTCCCCCAGCCCCAACCACAATTATAATACAAGACGGTTACAGGTGTATTGCAGAAAATCTGGAAAATACAGAAAGGCATCACCCAGGGGTAATCACCGTTAACGTTTATGAACAGTGTGTTTTGTTATATTTAGTTTCCTTTCTTATCCAGAGGTCAAATAAACATTCATGCATATATTATTATGGTCTGTGTTCCTTAGTTGTTTTTTTTTTTTCTTTTCCAGGCAGGTCTCATGCTTTCAGGTATCTTCTTTAGGACAGGTGATGTAAATTATGTGTCTAATACAGGGAAGAATTAAAGTGGGTACAGCTGTGGGTAGGGTGGATGGTGGTTAGCGCCTTGAACTTCAGTGTTGTTGTTTTTTTCTGTGTGTAGACTTATTATTTTTGTTTATGTTTTTGGTTGGTTGTTTTCAACACCACTTTCCATCATTTCAACCTTTTTAGGTGCTTCCTTGTAAGATAACGAGGAGATGGAATTTTCCAAGAGGAGGAAACTGAACTTGGCAGGCGATCAGAAGAATGCTTGCTACCCTCACAGCCTTCAGTTTTACCTGCAGCCACCTACTGAAAACATATCTTTGATAGAGTTTGAAAACTTGGCTATCGATAGAGTTAAATGTGAGTGATATTTGAATTAGAATTGACATATTCTTTCAGTCCGCAGACCGATGCTGTACCACTGAGCCAAACTGGTTTCGGCAGAATTGACATATTCTTGAGGATCTCTATACTTTGTGAGAATGAGTGGGATAACATATTTCCTTTATTAAGCAGTTACTTAACCAATATTTATTGAGGGTTTGCTATTCATTTATTTATCGGACAGTTCATATTTATTAAGTCCACTCTAGTCCAGGTGGTAGGGATTTTGAGATGAATATTGTAATTCTCATCTTTGATGAAACTGTATTCTAGTACCTGGAAGCAGATATCCAAAATAATAATCATAGTTTAGTATGTTAAGGGCTCTAGTAGTGGCTGAAGCTAGTGGAGATGGGGATAGCAGGAAAGGGGGATGTGGAGGGGGAGGTTATTAATTGCTTTGGTATGCCATAAAAAGAGGTACCCAAGGGCCATGGGTTTATGTTCAGGAGTCATTTGAGAAGTTTTTACTTCTTGAATTAAAAAAAAAAAAAAAAGCCTCTTTTTGTATTGATGGAAGAAGAATTCATCCGAAGAAGGATTGACAAGGGGCTGTAGGAACTTTTAAACAGGATGTAGCATCTATTTAGAGAGTGTTTGGATGATCTGAGGGCCCTGCTTCTTCACTATTAGTCTTCTCTGCTTCAGTAGAAAGGAAGGGCTATCTTTCTTTCTTTTTTCTTTTTTTTTTTTTTAGTTTTAAAAAAATTATTGATTTTTTTTTTTTTTTTTTTTTTTTACAGAGAGGAAGGGAGAGAGATAGAGAGTTAGAAACATTGATGAGAGAGAAACATCCATCAGCTGCTTCCTGCACACCTCCTACGGGGGATGTCCCTGCAACCAAGGTACATGCCCTTGACAGAAATCGAACCTGGGACCTTTCAGTCCGCAGGCAGACGCTCTATCCACTGAACCAAACCAGTTAGGGCAGGGCTATCTTTCTCATGAGTATATGCTGAGAAAACAGAAGCAGACCGCCTAACAGGCAGTTCCACATGAGGGATGCAAACAAGGGGTGCTTAGTCTTTTCTCCATACGGACACCCTTTTCCATTCTTCACCCACGGTGGCTCAGTACAGCAGTGGTTAACCATTCCTCTCTTCCCCCTGGTTGAGACCTGGCTATTAAATTATGCTTTGGGACCTTGATCTTTTCTATACATGAATGGAGGTTAGCTTCTTACAAACATACTAGAGGCCCAGTGCATGAAATTTGTGCATGAATAGAGTCCCTAGTCCTGGCCAGTGATCAGGGCTCATCTGTGGAGTGACTGGTGGGGCGATCAGGGAGCCCCTGCAGGCATATGCCTTGGCTGGCCTGCGGACTATGGGCTGGGGGCAGCTCTTGCCTTGAGTGTCTGCCCCCTGGTGGTCAGTGTATGACATAGCAATCCATCATTCCACCAGTTGTTTTGTCATTCAGTTGATTTTCATATTAGGCTTTTATTATGTAGGATATAATTTATATTATGTACTTGCAGAAAATTTATAACTTGTCATCTTTTATAAATAAGTAATTACTCAATTGCCATTTATAGATTTTATTTCTTGAATTTAGTTTTCAAAAATTATCTTGCATTCATATATTTTTCTTTTATTAAAAATTTTTTTTTCCAGTGCTAAAAGCAGTTGAAAATCTTGGAGTGAGCTATGTGAAAGGACATGAGCCATACCAGAGCAAGATGGAAGCTGAGATTCGAAAAGTCAAGTTTTCTTACAGAGTAAGTAAAAGGGGGAACAAATGTTCATTTAGATCTATATATTCATGTACTGAGTCTCAGTTGTGGAAAAAGTCTTATATTAGACACAAGGCCTTTATAAAGATTAATATAGCATAGACTCTGCCTGAAGATACCTACGGTCTCCTGGGGGTGATTGACATGTAGTCAGACCATTGTAATACCGCACGTTTTCTCAACTTTGGTACCACTGATGTTTTGGGAATGCTAATTCCTTGTTTCAGGGACTGTCCTGTGCATTGTAGGATGCCCAGTAGCATTCCTGTTTTCTACCCACTAGATGTTTCCAAACACTGTCATCTGTACCCTGTGCATATAGAGTGATGAATGCTGTGATGATTGCTGTTATTGGATGTGTGCTTCAGGAACTCCAGTATCACAAATAACCACCCAGTTCAGAGTGGGGTGGTTTGGGAAAGCTTCCAGAGAAGGTAGTGCTGAATTGCATCTTAATGGATACGATTAGATTTTTATTTTGGGAAGATGACTGCCATGGATAGGCAAACATCTGGTAGGAGGAAAACCAGTTAGGACCCTGGAAATGATGAGCGGAAATGAATGGAGAGAAGAATGATTGAAGAGATATGAAGAATCAAAAGATTTTAGTGACTGGTTGTAGGGAGAAGAGTTGTAAATGACACCCAGGTTTCTAGTTAGGACAATAAGGTGGATAGTGGTGATATTTTGAGATGTGTATACAGACTTAGAAGGGAGACTTACAAGAGAAGCAAGACTTAGAAGGAAGATGTTGAGTTTAGTTCTAGACATGAGTTGAGGTGCCTGTGGAGATGTCTGGTGGACAATTGGATATTCACAAAAATCTGGTTTTAGGAGATATCTAGAGTAGGAATATATAAGAAGAAGGTTGCAGTCATTAGGAGTAAGTGAGAGCACTGGAGGAAAATATTTGAGTGAAAAGAGAAGATGATGGAAGATAGGATATGAGGAATACCAATAGTTAAGGTGAAGTAGAATTGGAGGAGAATGGGAAGGAGCTGCCTGAGAGGTAGGAGATTAGTTAGGATGACAGTGTCATGGCAGCTAAGAAAGGCTGGAGTTTTAATAATAAAGATAATTATATTGATAGTGATATTATAGGAATGACAGCAAGCAAGCATTTCTATTATGCTTACTGTGCCCCAGGATTTTTCCCAAGTGCATTATATATATTAGCCCATGCAATTCACACAGCAGTCTTATGAGGTAGATACTATTATTATGCCTGTTTTATAGATGAGGATACTGAAATACAGATAAGAAAAATAACCAGTCCAAACTCACGAGAGAGTAAGTGGTGGAACCAAGATTCAAAACAAGATTCAAACAGTTTCAGAAGCTTTGGATAGATGAGTTATACAGAAGCCATTGATTTGTCAACTGGGTGGACTCTTCGTAGATTGAGGTAGAAGCCTGAATGATGAAAGTGGCGGATGAGGGAGGTTGAGAGGTGGAGATGGAATATGCATTCTTTTAAGATGCTCAGCTGAAAAGATGGGAGACATAGAGCTGAATATGGAGGAAGTATGGGGACAAGTGGAGACACACAGACATAAGTATATATACATATACATATATGACAGGAGATAGTTAAACACTTATAAACCAAGCAGAAAGATCTAGATGAGAAAGAAGAGTAGGGGAATTTAAAGATGTTCTGAGAAAGCATTTGATACATCATGATCCTTAGGAGGCAGGAAGATGGATTGCAAGGTTTAGGTGTAAGGGAATGGAGAGACGCTTTGTTCACGGATAAGGAAGGGAAGGCAACACAATGTGGACACACAGACTTGGAGCTGAAGTAGTCAACCTGGTGGCCTTAATTTTCTCTAAAATAGATGAAGTTGTCGGCTGAGAGAGGGTGGTGTGGTATGGAGTTTGGGCCAACTTGTGAAGACTGAAACAGCTTTTCTTTTTTAAAAAAAATCTTTATTGTTGAGAGTATTACAGATGTCCCATTTTTGTCTCCCTATTACCCCCTCCACCCAGTTCCCACTCTACCCCAGACCTTCACCACCCTATTGTGTCCAGTGTCCATAGGTAATACATACATGCATATCTTCTTAGATTAATCTCCCTGCCGCCTTTCCCTCTGAGATTTGTCAGTGTGTTTCATGTTCCCATGCCTCTGGTTCTATTTTATTCATCAGTTTATTTTGTTCATTAGATTCCTTGTTTGATATTTTGATTTTTTTTACATTCAATTGTTTATAGCTATGTATTTGTTATCACTTTGTTGTTCATAATTTTTATCTTTACCTTTTTCTTCTTCCTTTTCTTAAAGAATGCCCTTCAGCTGATTTGGTGGTGATGAACTCCTTTTAACTTTTTCTAGTCTGTGTAGCTCTTTATTTGACCTTCAATTCCAAATGAGAGCTTTGCTGGGTAGAGTAATCTTGATTGTACGTTATCACTTTGAATATTTCTTGGCAATTCCATCTGGCCTGCAAAGTTTCTGTCGAGAAATCAGCTGACAGTCCTATGGGTGCTCCATTGTAGGTAACTAACTGCTTTTCTCTTGTTGCTTTTAAAATTCTCTCTTTGTCTTTAAGCCTTGGCATTTTAATTATGATGTGTTTTGGTGTGGACCTTTTTGGATTCCTCTTGTCTGGGACTCTGTGCTTCCTGGACTTGTAAGTCTATTTCTTTAACCATGTAGGGCAAGTTTTCTGTCATTATTTCTTCAGATAGGTTTTCAATATTTTGCTTTCTCTCTTCTCCTTCTGGCACCCCCATGATATGAATGTTGGTACATTTGAAGTTGTTCCAGAGGCTCCTTATACACTATCTTCATATTTTTTTGGATTTTTTTTTTTTCTTTTTGCTCTTCTAATTGGGTGTTTTTTGCTTCCTCATATTCCAAATTGCTGATTTGGCATCCTCTACTTGACTACTGATTTCCTATAAATTATTCTTTATTTCAGTTAGTGTATTCTTAATTTTTGACTGCTCCTTTTTCATGCCTTTGATGTTCTAATTTCCTTGAAATTCTCACTAAGTACTTTGAAGTTCTTATCAAGGTCCTTGAGCACCTTTATACCCATTGTTTTGAACTTGGTATGTAGTAGTTTGCTTGCTTCCATTTCATTTAATTCTTTTTCTGGAAATTTCCTCTGTTTGTTCATTTATGACATGTTTCCCTAACTCCACATTTTCGCAGCTTCCCTGTGCCATGTCTCCTGGAATTGGTAGAGTGGCCTTGTGTAGTAAGTGTCCTGTAGGGCCTAATGCTCAGCCTCTGCAGTCACCTGAGCTGGACTCTCTAGGTGCACCCCTGTGTGGATTGTGTGCACTGTCCTATTGGAGTTGAGCCTTGATTGCTGTTGGTATCTCGGGGTGAACTCCCAGGCCAATTTATTCTGGGGATCAGCTGTGACACAACAGAAGAGCTGAAACAGCTTTTCTAAGAAATGAGAACAGAGATGGTTACGTGTCAGATCCCAGCTCTGCTACTTAAAAGTTTTGTGACCTTGGACAAGTTATATAACTTCCCTATGCCTCATTTTCCTTGTCTTTGTAATAGGGATACATAGCAGAGTCTACCTTATCGGGGTTTTTAAAGGATTAAATGGGTTGATAGATGAAAAATGCTTAAGGTAGTGCCTAGTACCTTGTAAGTGCACAAGACATGTTTGCTCTTACTATTTTGGACTTGGATAAAGTTTCCTTAGTGTTGATAAAGGTCCAGCTGGGGTTAGAGGCTATACGTTTTCAATATTCCAAATTCCCAGTGTTGAATATCTTTTCTTCAGAGGTTTTAACATTTTCAATAGACTACAGAATATAGCTGTAGATTAATTTAGAATCTAGATTTTGCCACAGTGTTGAAAAGCAAGAAGTTGAGGGTTGATACAAGAAATTGTTTAACTGGTGAGTACCCTAGGTATAGGATGGATAGCAAAGAAGGTTAGGATAAGAAAATAACAGGGTTAAACCCAGGAGATTTTGCTGAAATGAGTTCAGTTCTCAGTGTCACCTGATTGCTAACTTATGAAAAATGATCATTATCCTGTAAAGCATATTATGAAATTTGTGTTTATGAAACTTTTACTTTACATTAGCTTATGCTGATTTAGTATTTCTTTACACCTCGTACTATTCTAATGCATTCATTTTGTTCATGTCCTATTATGTTTAAGGAAAACTTAGAAGATGAATATGAAGCACGAAGAAAAGATCACATTTCTCACTTTATTTTACGCCTTGCTTATTGCCAGTCGTGAGTACACATTTATACTCACTGTCAAATTTGATGTCTTGGGTTATACATTGGTACATGGAAAGTTAACATGTATTGTACTGAACAGAGGAAAACTTGGAACAACAATAGAAATCAGAGGTTCATGAGTTAAACACTATTGCAGCAGATTGTTGGAAACAAGTTGTTTACTATGCAATATCCCCAAAAAATTCTACTGAAAAATTTTGCCAGTTGAAACACTTTTTACCTTTATGGAGAGACTCTTCATTTGGGATTTAAAATTGAGGGAAATTTTATTAGAGATTTTTATTACCACTGACCCTCCCCCCCAAAACAACAACAACAAAAAAACAAACAAAAACAGAAACTGGTAATATTTGTAAGAAATAATGAATCAAATACACACTTGAATCCAATGCAGTTGGATTTTTAGAAGTTGAGATGTATGGACCAGGGCCCATTAGATTAAGATATTTTCCTCTGTTAGTTGGTTTCTTATAAGTCAGTAGTGCCACCCAGAGGGAAAGGAGTTAGTTGCCTTTTAAACTTGGTATTTTTTTCTTGTATTAATTCTGGCATACAAGAACATTAAAAGAACATCTTATAAGTTTATTTTCCTTTTCTTTTTACTAATAGGCTTATCAAATGAGAACATTAAGTTATTTACTATCCCAAGATAGTAACTAGAAATTATTGACCAGTTTTGGTCCTAGAGATTTTCTTTGGTGAAAAAGTATATGTAGTTTATGCAACGTATGCAGTAAGTGAATTGCTACAGTGTGAAGACCACTTTGGTAAAAAAACTAAATCATATTGTACATGCATCAGCATCATTGTCTAACAACAGTAATGCTGATTATGGATCTTTCTTGCAAAGTAATATACAGTAATTGTGTGTTGGCTTTTGAAAAATTGAAGTATACCATGCATATTAAATTTTGTGAAATTATAAACAAAAAAGCTGAAAGCAAAGGTTGCATTGTGAAATTTATCTGATCAGAATCTATTCAGAGGTAAATTACCTTTATAAAATTTGGGTTTATTTGGCATGGATGAAATCATCTTAGAAGTAATAGTCTATATTCTAATGTAATTGATATTTTGTGGTTACACTAGATGCAGTGAAATATTTTCTTTTATAATATTGATAATAATGCAGTTAAGCTTAAAGTATTCTATATTTAATTATTTTAATTTTATGTTTGTTACACCTCTTTCCCCACATTCAGCCCATCCCTGGAAGAATGTGGGGTGTGTTATTCATACTCTTAGGGCACTTTTAACTTCTGTCTATTGGCATCTTGGTCATGTTTGAATATTGTTTCATATAAACTTTTTGGATTTAAAAATTGGTGGACTTTTAAAATAATCATTTGACTTATAATTTATACTTGTAATTTTCCTATCTACATTTTAGCGAAGATCTTAGACGCTGGTTTATTCAACAAGAAATGGATCTCCTTCGATTTCGATTCAGTATTTTACCCAAGGACAAAATTCAAGATTTTTTAAAGGATAGTCATTTGCATTTTGAGGCTGTGAGTATATTTTTGTAGTCATTTCCAATTGTTTGCACCACTCATCCCTCCTAAGTGCTAGTAGTCATCCCACCTTAAGTGCTAGTATTGACGTGTGGAGTTTGTTCTCTTTATGTTTTCTCCCTAAGTACCTGACTGAGAGAACAGCTCTTGGCTCGGCATGATGGTGAACCTTTTCCTTTCAGTGACTAGAAGAAAAGGGGCTCCTTAGTACCAGAGCCTCACATTTAATTGCTTTATTAAATATGTGATAAATGAAAGCACGAAAATGTTTAATTTATAAAAGTTCATCTTTAACCAGAATCTTTTAGGCCAAAATTTTAAAGCTAACATATTAAAGAAAACAGAGAAGTGGTAGGACTTATATCCAATAAGGAAGTTTAGAGGGGTAATACTTATTTTAAAAGTCAGTTGCTAGTAAAATCTATGAGTAGTTTTAAATAATAATTTTGCAGACAAATCTGAATGACATACTTATAGTAATCCTATATAAGGGTAATATACAAATAGACTGAATGGCAGAACAACCAAACGACCAATTAAAGTGTAATATGCTAATGATATGCTAAGGCTGCTCAACTGTTCACTGACCACCAGGGGGCAGATACTCCAACTGGTAGGTTAGCTTGCTGCTGGGGTCCAGCCTATTGGGACTGAGTGAGATGGGCTGGACATGCCCTGGAGCCTTCCCACATCCCTCCCCAGCCCGATCTTACTGGTGGGACCCTCAGTCTGGACTACACCCTTTTGCAGTCCAGGCTGAGGGCACCCCCCCCCTGCTCTCCGAGTTCACAAACCGGGCAGCTAGTCATATAAGAAAGAAGTGTCTCTGCTGGTGGGAATGCAGACTGGTGCAGCCACTGTGGAAAACAGTACAGAGTGTCTGCAATAAACTAAAAATGGAAATCTCATTTGACCCAGTAATCCCATTGCTATGAATATATCCCAAGAAACTAAAAACACCTATCAGAAAGGATATATCCACCCTTATGTTCATAGCAGCACAATTTAGCATAGCTAAGATTTGGAAACAGCCTAAGTGCCCATCAGCAGATGAGTGGATTAAAAAACTCTGGCACATCTACACAAAGGAATACTAAGCTGTTGTAAAAAAGACATAGATGGATCTGGAGAGCATTATGCTAAGCGAAATAAGTCAGAAAAAGATAAATATATGATTTCACTCATATGTGGAATATAATGAACATAAACTGATGAACAAAAACAAATCCAGAGATAAAGAAGCATCGATCAGACCATCAAACTTCAGTGAGAAGGTAGGGAAGGGTGGAGGTAAGGGGGAGAGATCAACCAAAGGACTTATATGCATGCATATAAGCCTAACCAATGGACACAGACACTAGGGGGCTGAGGGCATGAGTGGGGCGTGGGGGGCAATGGAAGAATAAGGACACATGTAATACCTTAATAAAGAAAGAATAAAAAAAGGGGAAAAAAGAAGAATTAAGTGTAGGCATTCCAGGGGGTTGGGGAATGGGTGAAAAAGGTGAAGGGGACTAATAAGTTTAAATTACCAGTTATAGAATAAGTCACAGGGATGTAATGTACAGCACAGGGCATACAGCTAATAATATTGTAATAACTGTCTGGTGTCAGATGGTTACTGGAATTATCATGGTGACCACTTCATAAGGTATGTAAATGTGTAATCACTATGTTGTACACTGAAACTAATACAATGTTATAAGTCAACTTTAATTAAAATAAATTTAAAAAGCAGAAAAATAAAAAGAAAGAAGCGTCTGGGACATATTTAGCAGGGATATCCATTGTGGGTGGAAATAGAATATATGTCCTGTAGGTGGCTCTGTACTCCAATAATTCTGCTTTGGAAGACTTAGAACAATCAGGTGATAGTAGGACTAATTGAGACTCAGGTGAGAATGGGTGACTTGAAGCCAAAATAAAGTAAAAAAATAGAAGTTGGAGTAGATAAAAGACATTGTCCTATCTGAGAAGTGGAAGATGTAAGACTCAGTGTGGGTTATTGAGTCGGAAAAAAAGAGATTGCACGAAGGGCAGTAAACAAACGTTTGGTAGGCATTTAGTGTCCATTATGTGCTCAGGAGGTACTTCCCACAGTTTATCTCACTTTTCGTAAGAGCCCCACAAGGTTTCTAAATTACATCTACCCAGGCCCAGAAAAGTGTCAAGCCCAGGACCACCTCCCCCAAGCCCCATGCATTTTCTACTTTGTATTTTTCTCCTTTCATTGTCTCTCTCATTTCTTTATTTAGTTTATCTGTTTTAGTCTTACATCTTGAATGTATGATGATCCTTCACTGTTTGTTTTTGTTTAAGATTGAGATGCTGAAAAGTAGGTTGGACAAGTGGGCTTTACTGTACACAGGCAAGTGCATGAGACACTGATTTACCAGTGGTGAATATCTGACATGCCAGCATCACTGCTCTTGTGCGTTGGGACCGTTTTTAATGAAATAAGGGATCCTTGAGCACAAGCACTGCGATACCATAACAGTTGATCTGATAACCAAGACGGTTACTAAGCGACTAACGAGTGAGGAGTGCATGCAACCTGGATACATGGACAAAGGGGTAATTCACCTCCTGGGTGGGATGGAGCAGGATGGTATGACATTTCATCATGCTACTCAGAATGGCACACAATGGAAAACTTACGAATTGTTTATTTCTGGAATTTTCCATTTAATATATTTGGACAGTAATTGACCATGACTAACTAAAAACCGTGGAAAGCAAAACTGGAAAAGAGGGAACTACTGTACTTGTATCTAGTGTGTTGGTTGTGACAATGGTTTTTCAAAACCATTAGCCTGCATGCTATGGTTTTCTCTTACTTCCTTTCTTTTTTTCTTTCCTTTTTTAAAAAAAAAAAAAATATATATATATATATATATTTTATTGCTTTTGTACAGAGAGGAAGGGAGAGAGATAGAGAGTTTAGAAACATCGATGAGAGAGAGTCATCGATCAGCTGCCTCTTGCACATCCCCTACTGAGGATGTGCCTGCAACCAAGGTACATGCCCTTGACCGGAATCGAACCCGGGACCTTTCAGTCCCCAAGCCGACGCTTTATCCATTGAGCCAAACCGGTTTTGGCTCTTTTTTTCTTTCTTTTGTGTTTCATTCTGCTGGCCATTTGAGATGCATGATAATAAACTTACATTAAAGTGTAGGAAACACGGATAAAATTCAGAAATTCAGGAGAAAATATCCACATTCAATGTCACCAGAGTGGGGGGTGTCCTATACAGTTTCTAAAAGGAACACTAGTTTTGGCTTCTTGTGTGACTGTTTTGGTTTTTCTGGTTCAGAGATTCTCAGTGGGGGGATAGGATACAGGTAGTCGTCCTCGGGGGTTTATCAGAACTAGAAGTGTGCAGTGTGAAAAACATCATGCCGTTTGTTTTTGCAGTAAACACTGAGAATGTTAAACATGATCAACTGTTTGTAGCTGGTGGGGATTCATGGAAGTTAGAGAGAGAGAAATCATTGCAGGGGGCCTGGCATGAAAATCATTCCTATGATAGATTTAATCACTTTCCTGGGAGAAACTTTTTCTTTCCATTTAAAAAAAAAATCTTTTATTGTTGAGAGTATTACAGATATCTCCAATTTTCTCCCTCTTTTCCTTCTCTGGGAGAAAGCTTTTCCCTCCTCCTCTGGTGCTCTCCCTTGGTGTCCGGTGATAAAGGAATTTGAATTCAGGTGCTGTTGATGGGCTTGCCCCTTGGCCCCATAGCTCTTTCCACTTCCCAGCTTTCTCCTTTTCATTAATAGGAACATGCACATTTTCTTCACTTCGATTAGAATATTAGGATTGCACTTGAAAATTAATGTGCTACAACAGGTGTCAGTGATGTTTTTAGATCCAGGACCCATATTTTAGACTCAGGACAAAACAAGGGTTAGGGAAAATTTATTGGCATTTGTCCCGTAAGCTGGTCTCTGATGTGCATGGGCCCTGCTGCCTAAGTCTAGGCAGAAGGACACAGTGGGGAGTGGAGAGCCATGGGGCCATCCTAGTCTCCATGTCCCGGAAGCTGGATTACTGGCACACACATATTAGAGTGTACCTGGAATTCAAGTTGTGTGTGTGTGTGTGTGTGTGCATGTGCATGCTTGGGCGTGTGCGTGCGCATTTCGCTATCATTTCAGTTTCATTAAAACTGCAATGACTTTTATGTTGGTCTACTTCTGTAAAATAAATGCTTTTACTTTAGGAGGAAATGCACTGGTATAACTAAATTGCATTGTGTTTGCTTTGATGGAGAAATATGTACAGGAAAAGGGGGAATTAATTCTTTGTATAGTTATTTTTCCTCTTAAATTTTGTTTTTCAGTTTGCCATGGCTGATGTAATTTTGTTTTATAAAAACATGGAAGAGGTGAATGGGGCCAGTTATTGGATCTGGGGGCTCTTGTGTTCTATTTTGGGCTCTGGCAGTTCTCTGAAACTTTGCCTATTTTAGTCTATATGTGGGTTTCCAGTGGATACTAGAATTTGAATCTTTATGACATACAACAGAAAGCCTTAATATGAAGTATTCAAAAAGAAAAAAACTGGTAGTTTTTGGTTTTGGACTTAGGTGTAAATAGCTTGTATTTTAAATCTGAAATTTCTAGGAAGGTTTAGAAGTGCATAAATGTTGCTATCTGTGGGGACCATTCTGGAGCTCTCCTTGCTGAGTTGATTGACTTGCCCTTGTGTCACATGACAGGCGGATGGGTAAGGTTAAACAGATCCCATTAGCGTGTCTTCAGTTGACCAGTTAGGGAAAGGTCAGGCTTTGGCAGCTGTCAGCCTCACAGACTAAAGGTCTCTGTGCTGTTGCAGTTCACAGTCTTGACAGCAGCTTATAATTTACCTCAATGTTTTCAAACCTTATCAGGACAGTCAAAAAATGTTTGTTTGTTTGTTTTAATGAATTTGATATGCCAGTGGAGCTAATGGCAGGATGTTTTCGTTAGAATAGTACAGAATGGCAGGGACAA